TCGTTGAGAGGGAAAATATCATAGATGTAACTACAGAAAGACAATGTGGGAACTGAATAAATAGTTCACGAAAAATGGATCTTTTAAGATACTTCAAATCCCCTGTCGTCTACCTATAAAACCCGATACAAAACCTGATACAGCAAAACATTTAGCATGATGAATGTTACCGCTAATGGCACGCCTACCTATTGTCATTAGCCTCATTAACAAATTAGATGAACCAACTCCTAGAAGTAAAGATCGCAACAGTAACAGACAAAAACAAAAGAAAATTCAGAACATTGACTAAATTCCCAATTCAATCTTCTTTAGCCCAGTTGAAATAAGAAATATTTTCAATCCATCAAAACTGTCCCCAATCAGAAATTGAATCTGAAGATTGGGGGGCGGCCATTTCTCTCCTTAGTGATCTTCCTCTAAAACTAATGATGTAACAACAGCAAGCGGGTTGTTTTCGAATGATTATTACACAGATTATCTTTTAGATCCAAAGTCGATGAATCAATCAATAAAAAAGTGATCTTCATATATTTAAGACAAATTCAACATCGACCCAATGTCAATCGAGCTGAAACGAAATGCAGGAAGCAGAGAAAAATAACTCTTCCCAACACAACACAGATCCAAAAACCTCAGAAGAACAGAAACTAGCGAAAACGAATCACTCGAGTGATTTGAATTACTGATTAGATGAACAAGAGAGAAGAACTAATTAGGGTTTTGAAAATACCTTAATCGAGACGTCGGAGGACGGGGCCGAGATTTTGCAATTTCAGTGAGTAATTTGTTATGAACTCAAATTTTTGTTACAACTTTTTTTATGTGTTTTCTGATATTTTTTTTTTTTTTTTTCTGGTTCGATTTTCTGTATATGGGAGGGTATGAGAGAATAGAAGAAGATGAGTTTTAGGGAGATCAAGAAGGAAAACGTAAGAGAGAATAGAAGAAAGAGAGTACTGATTTGTTATATCCAAAAATTACACCAATTACCAAAAATTATTACCTGCTCAATTCCCCATTTATATTCCCCGTATACCTAGCGATGAAAATGGGTCGGTCCGGGTGCGGGTTTTGGCATACTCATACCCGACCCTCATGCTAAAAATGCATCCTACCCGCCCGCTATCCGATTATCCACCACCGAACCCATTGGCTAATCACTTAATTGGGTACCCAAATTGCTGTCATTGATGGAAAAAATGATTTTTATGTATTTTTGTATCGTTCAACTTGATTTTGGCTTATTAGGGCTCGAGATTGTCTCGTTGATATTGATAAACAAGTTGAGCTCGAGCTCGATTATAAGCTCCCTAAGTTAAGGGCTCGAACACCATGAGCTCGAGCTCAAATCGGCTCGTTTACACCCTAGTTGTGGTTAGGTGTTGTAACAATGCATGCTTGTTTGTGTTTGTTTTATTGCAATTGTTCCTCTTACTAAGTTCATTAGTATGTAATAAAGATGCAAGATGTATCATGTTTTTAAGTTCTTGTACTAAGTTGAAACTTAGCAGATACTTATAAAACTCAAAAGAAAAAGAAAGAAAAAACACAGGAAGGTAGCAATCTTGAGGCTTATAAAAAAACAAGAAATAACATAAAGTTGAGGTTTAACGATCTTGAACTATTGAATACCAAAAAAAACATTTTGAAATCAATAGGTTTGTACACTGTACACCACAAAAAGAGAGAATGAAAAAAAAAAGAAAAAAAAAAATGAA